AATAGACATACCCTCGAAATCCTACCCATTTTTGAGAAAGAAAATTCTTTACCAAAAATCTGTTGTGAGACCAGAAAAATCCCCTAAAACTAGTCCAATTTTCAAACGGCCATAACTCCTATAATAGCAAAGATATCTTATTGAAATTTTTTCCTGAAACAGAGCCCATGAGTATCTACAAAAGAGTATTAAACAACTTTGCTGTAGAGCGTCAAACAAATTTATTAAATATGAAAAACAAATTAAGAAAACTTGACAGGGGGTAGTCTCCCTTTTCAGCGAAAAAATATTTCGAATCTTTTTGGAAAAATTATTTTCGGTTACAGGGGTCGATTACAATAATTTTTGGCCAATAGACATACCCTCGAAATCCTACCCATTTTTGAGAAAGAAAATTCTTTACCTAAAATCTATTGTGAGACCAGAAAAATCCCCTAAAACTAGTCCAATTTTCAAACGGCCATAACTCCTATAATAGCAAAGATATCTTATTGAAATTTTTTCCTGAAACAGAGCCCATGAGTACCTACAAAAGAGTATTAAACAACTTTTCTGTAGAGCGTCAAACAAATTTATTAAAAATGAAAAACAAATTAAGAAAACTTGACAAGGGGTAGTCTCCCTTTTCAGCGAAAAAAAAATTTCGAATCGTTTTGGAAAAATTATTTTCGGTTACAGGGGTCGATTACAATAATTTTTGGCCAATAGACATACCCTCGAAATCCTACCCATTTTTGAGAAAGAAAATTCTTTACCAAAAATCTGTTGTGAGACCAGAAAAATCCCCTAAAACTAGTCCAATTTTCAAACGGCCATAACTCCTATAATAGCAAAGATATCTTATTGAAATTTTTTCCTGAAACAGAGCCCATGAGTACCTACAAAAGAGTATTAAACAACTTTTCTGTAGAAGGTCAAACAAATTTATTAAAAATGAAAAACAAATTAAGAAAAATCAACAGGGGGTAGTCCCCTTTTTTAGCGAAAAAAAACTTTCGAATTGTTTTAGAAAAATTATTATCGGTTACAGGGGTCAATTACAATAATTTTTGGCCAATAGACATACCCCCGAAATCCTACCCATTTTCTAGAAAAAAATTCAGTACGGCCAAAACTTTAAACGTTAATAACTTTTTAACAAAGCCTCGATCAACAAATTAGTATTCTTGATTTTCGTCTTATTTTGGCCTCTAAAATCCCCCATTAAAATTTTCCCCAGAATTCATAATTATAGAAGTATAATACTTCTTATGTAATAATTAATAATAATACTGCTCCTGTAATAAAAATAAAATTAAATGTAAATCTATCGTTAAAATATTCCAAATACACGAATTACTTATTTAATAGCAATTACCAATTCGTTACACATGGAATTCCTAATTATACAAGTATAACACGAAAAGAAGATCACTGTTGAGTTTAAAGTGGGAAACTTGTAACATCTTAAACAACTTTAAATCTAGTACAGTAGTATTTTTCATCCAGCCTGGAAAAGAAGCCAAAATTATGATCCAGGAAAGGAGGATACGAGTAACAGGAAGATATTCCACGACATTTTCAAAAAATTAAACATCCGTGTTTCGCGTACGAGGCCCTTAATTGGACTTAATTACTGATCATCCGTCTTTGTCGTCGGGCTATGAGTCACTACGAATGTAACTTACAGAAGTTACTCTATTTTTCCTCCATTACATTCTCCTTACTCTTCACATTTGTCTTTCATTTTTACAAGTACTCTAAACAGGTGAAACATTATTGTTTACCTTATTGGTCACGAAAATAAATAAACTACCTGCGTAGTGTTTAATTTGTAAACAAACTGAAGATGAAAGCTTCTCAAATTACGATAGTTGAACAAATTCTGGGATATTAACACTAGAACTACCGACAATTACAGTGTGCTTATTTGTACCAGAGAAATTAAATCAATAAATATGTAAAGAAATGTATAATACAATGCTAATAAATGTTTATTCATTCCTTTATAGAAAATTATGGTAAATTTTTATAAACTCGGCAGAGTAAATTTTTTACAAGTTTTATTAGAAATTGTGAATGGATCATTTTGACTGTTTTGGTGGTTCTAGTGTTAAAGTAAAGATATTTTAATGTTATATGAATCGAATGATTGAAATACAGTATGTTAAACACGCTGTTAAATTCGCAGTATTTTAAACAATTATTGTTATTATCGGAAATGAAAGGAAAACATAGAAGTTTAGGAAATGGAACGCTGAATTTTTAGATAATGAAGCAAAACAGGCGAACTCGACGTGTATGGCAGGAGTAGGGAGAGATGAATCATTCCTGAAATCGAATGAATTGTGCGATCGATATCAGAAACTTTCGTATTCGAGGTGGCCGTGGATTTTCCGTGCATTTTGCTCAGCCTGCGCAGTCTGCGACACTAAAACAAAAGTAATTGTTATTTAACGTTTACACTTTGAAAAATATGTTACAAATAAATGGTAAAGGATTTGGTAACAGAGCAGCTTATTCAAGACTCACCTTGGATGACGATGATAAGGCAATCGTTATCGTTTAGAAGGCACTATCCTGTTAGCATTCTTATCCCATAATCTTGCATACACTTCCGGTCGCGACAATCATTATACTATGCGTAAGAAATAAGTCTGCGTAAATAAAAAAAAAAAAAGGGTATAGAACCTTTAACAATAAGGTAAAATTCAAGTTAGGTGACACGGAATGCTAAAAAAATATCTTCTAGTTTTTTACTGTTTTTATACAGTTTTTTTTAATAAAATATCAAAACGTAAAGTATGTACAGTGACTCACAGCAAAAATCGTCCATGGTGGTTGAGTGTATACAGAGTGTTAGGCCAAGCCTGGGAAAAAATTTAATGGAAGATTCTAGAGGCCAATATAAGACGAAAATCAAGAATATCAATTTCTTGACTGAGGCTTCGTTAAAAAGTTATTAAAAAATTAAATTAAAATATTTCAGATCATTCTGGAAAAATTATTTTCGGTTGCGGGGGTCAATTGTAATAATTTTTGGTCATTACACATATAACCGAAATCCAACTCAGTTTCGAGAAAAAAATTAGAGTAGGTACAGAAACTTTTAGACGAAATTAAAAAATTTGAAATCATATTAACAAAATTATATTTAGTTACAGAGGTCAATTGCAAGCATTTTTGGTAAATAGACATAACCCCGAAATCCTACGCACATTTGAAAAAAAAATTCTTTACCGAAAATATAAGGTTAGGTTACCCTGAAACTTCATGCATTTATTTAAAACATCATAACGCCTGAACGGATTGGACGATTTTAATGTTTCAAAAGTCAAACAACTCGTATTTTGGTGAAGAATATGTAGAAATTATAAAGATATTTGAAAAGTTGTTCATTAACCCCGTAAAGTGAGAAAAACCTCCCCTAAAACTGGTCCAATTTTTAAACGTCCATAACTCCAACAGTAGTGAATATATTTGAATGAAATTTTTTTCTGAAGTTGAGCCCATGAGTACCTATAGAAAAGTATTACACAACTTTTCTGTAGGTCGCCAAATAAAATTATTAAAAATCGAAAACTAATTGTTAAGATAAATCAACGAGGTGCCTAAATTTTTCGACGAAATTGAAAAGTTTCAAAACACTCTGGAAAAATTATTTTCAGTTGCGGGGGTCAATTGCAATAATTTTTAGTAAATAGACATAACCCCGAAATCCTACGCACATTTGAAAAAAAAATTCTTTACCGAAAATATAAGGTTAGGTTACCCTGAAACTTCATGCATTTATTGAAAACATCATATCTCTTGAACGGATTGGACGATTTTAATGTTTCAAAAGGCAAACAACTCGTATTTTGGTGAGGAATATGAAGAAATTCTAAAAATATTTGAAAACTTGTTCATTAACCCCGTAAAGTGAGAAAAACCCCCCCTAAACCTGGTCCAATTTTTAAACGTCCATAACTCCTACAGTTGTGAATATATTTCATTGAAATTTTTTTCTAAAGTAGAGCCCATAGATACCCACAAAAAAGTGTTAGACAACTTTTCCGTAGAGCGTCAAACAAATTTATTAAACATGAAAAATAAATTTAAAAAAAAAATCGACAGGTGATGAAATTTTTTGGCAAAATTATTAAATTTCAAATAATTCTAAAAAAAATATTTTTAGCTAGGGAGTCAATTACAATCATTTTTGGTGATTAGATTTACCTTCGAAATCCTATGCATTTTCGAGAAAAAAATTCCAGTAGGTGGCGAAATTTTTCGTCGGAATTAAAAAGTTTTGAATCATTCTGAAAAAATTATATTTAATTGCAGGGGTCAATTACAATCATTTTTGGTGATTAGATATACCTTCAAAATCCTATGCATTTTCGAGAAAAAAATTCCTTACCGAAAATCTAATTAGGTGCCTAAATTTTTTGGTAAAAAAGTAAATTTCAAATCATTCTGGAAAAATTATTTTCAGTTGCGGGGGTCGATTGCAATAATTTTTGGTCAATAGACACACACCCGAAATCCTACTCAGTTTCGAGAAAAAAATTCATTACCGAAGACATAATGTCTGATCAGGCATATTCTATTTCGAAAAAAGAAAATTTTAAATCGTTCTAAAAAACTATTTTCGCATACGGAGGTATATGTATTCACCAAAAATGATTGCAATTAACCCCCACAACCGAAAATAATTTTCCCAGAACGATTTGAAATTTTTGAATTTAATTGTCAATAACTTTAGGCCAAAATAAGTCGAAAATCAAGAATACCAATTTGTTGATGGAGGCTTCGTTAAAAAGTTATTAACGTTTAAAGTTAAAGTGTGCAGCGCGCGCGGTTCCCGTCTCACATGCGCAACTTTAAATGTTAATAACTTTTCAACGAAGCCTCAATCAACAAATTGTTATTCTTGATTTTCGTCTTATTTTGGCCTCCGGAATCCCCCGTTAAAATTTTTCCCAGGTATGATACTAAAATTTAATAATTTTTCAAAATGCTTGTTTCTGGTTTCAAAGCATCGGTTTTGAAGATGTCGAAGGAGAGGCCTTAGCATGAGCCACACTGCCGCACTACGAATCCTGATACTGATCCTGATCCTGGGCGATCTCGACTCGGTCACGGTGGTAAATCATCATCACCCGGACGACGAATATTTTCTGGAGCATCAGGTTCTCTACGAGGATGCGATCAACGAGGCGAAAAAGCTGGAAGTTTATCCCGGTAGAAAAGTAACAGATTACATCCTAGATACTAAAAGCGTTACCTCTTGTTCGACTTCATTCTACGTCTGGTCTATAAAGCATCTCCACGGAGCAGAGAGAATCTATTTATCTTGCCTTCCAAGAATAACTCCTCTTTGATCCGTTTAAACGGATACTTTGGGCCACATCCTCCCACGAATTAATTTTGCGAACTTTTTACCTCGATAGAAACTTTTTCCCCCCCCCTCCACTTGGGCTCCGCGAGCCGCGAACAATGAAACGCTTCGTTCTTGACACGGTTGTTGCTTAAAAATTATCGAGCAACAGAAACGATCGTTTATTTTCCAAACGTAACGTAGACAAGAAATAGGAGCCAAGGTTGCCTTCTTTGTCCGCGACTTTAAACCAACCAGCTTTCAGTTCAATCGTTCGCAACGATCCAGCGACGCCATTTACAACAATTCAATTTTATTTTATAATCATTTTTAAATTTTATCGATTGTTCGAAATCTACTCCTAACCTAACACCTAAGTAACATTTTGATCTCTGTTTGGTTTAATTAAAATATAAAATATACAAAAAAATACAATTATATTAGAATAAAACAATGTCTGATTTCTATATCACTTCAATTATTATTTTAGTTGGCTAAAATTCCCGTTAGAGTCGACGATTTTCAAACAACAGATTTTTTTTTTTTTTAAATAAACTTCGCCTTGGTTTCCAACAGATTGACAAGAATAACGATTTCAAAACAATTGCATAAAGCCTCAAGACACTGATTAACGTGAATCATACTTGATATTCGATTCAATGCGATATTCTCGTGTTTTGTTAACGGCAAATTAAATTCGAGATAATGAGCCATAATTGTTAATCGTCCAACAAGAATAATACACGCAGAGACCTTTAATTTATTCAAAGGTAACGCATGTTGGAATTTTTCAGGTCCCATTGTAGGATGCAAGCCTTGTACGAGTTCAGAAATGAGGTATTGCAAGGATGGAAGTGTCATAAACGATCATTGCTGCTGCGACGGCAATTTTAACAGTAAGTATAATTTACAGCAAAATTAAATGATTATTATACGATCTAATTAAAAATATAACGTCTGTGAATAATATTTATAACACACTGAGCTAGTTAGAGCTAGTTGTTGCTAAATTTTTTGCAATATTAGCGATCGTCCTTCGTTTATTTACGTATAAAAATCGGGTGGAAAGCGACAATCGCGTGTGGGGAATTCGTGCGTGAAGAATTGACCGCGCTGAAGGCTCGATTGTGCAACTCTTTTGTGGAAATTTGTGCCTGCAATTCGTACAACGGAGTAATAACATCGCGTAATCTGAATCGCAAAACGTAACGAAGATTACTTAATCGTTGATGATCTGTTGCGCTACGATCAAACTTGTCCGGACGAGGCACAAGAGATACCATGCAACGATAAAATAAACAATTGTGCTTGAGGTCTTTAAAAAATAATAGACATTCGTATGGAATCTTTTGTACAATTTGTTTCGACAAAGATTTCATCGTTCTATACTTGTTGCTTCTGTTTAACACTAGATTTACGGTCATTGATCGCACCGTATATTTATTGATAACTTTTATATTGACGATTACCTTACAATACGATTTTTTTTTTAATTAGAATGTGTATTCGTGCCATTGCATCAATTAAATTCAACACAAGTTGTTAAAAAATAATATTTACGCGATTTGCAATTTTAAATATGGCATCAAACATCCGTCAAATTGACGGGTTCCGTAAATCTAGTGTTGAGGCGAAATCTATCTTAATAATGTAGTAAGTAGTTAATAAATAATAATGTAGTAAGTAGTTAATAAATAACTATGCTCGAAGAAAAATGTCGAGTAAAATGCTTGACGTCTGTAACAAAAAATAAGACATTGGTATGGAGTCTTTTGTACATTTTGTTTCAACAAAGCTTTCATCGTTGTGTACTTGTTGCTTCCGTTTGAGGCGACATCTATCTTTCAACAACGCACCTACATTTTGTTTCAACTAAGGTTTCATCGTTGTATACTTGTTGCTTCCGTTTGAGGCGACATCTAGCTTCTAACTACGCCCAAAGAGAAATGTCGAGTAAAATGCTTGAGGTCTGTAAAAAAAAAAATAAGTCATTAGTATGGAATCTTTTGTACATTTTGTTTCGACAAAGGTTTCATCGTTGTATACTTGTTGCTTCCGTTTGAGGCGACATCTAGCTTCTAACTACGCCCAAAGAGAAATGTCGAGTAAAATGCTTGAAGCTTATAAAAAAAAGATATTCGTATGGAATCTTTTGTATATTTTGTTTTGACGAAGCTTTCACCGTTGCATACTTGTTGCTTCCGATTAAGGCGACATCTATCTTTTAACAACGCACCTACATTTTGTTTCAACGAAGCTTTCATCGTTGTATACTTGTTGCTTCCGTTTAAGGCGACATCTATGTATAAAATGTCGAGTAAATTTAAATGATTGAAGTCTGAAAAAAAAACGTTCGTATGAAATCTTTTGTAAATAAATTTCAATAAGAAATATCAAAGTTAAAATCAAAAATCAGTAATCAATAATCAAAGGAAATAAATTTCAATAGAGTTTGTGAATTTTAACAACATTACGAAAATAAGTACTGAAACAGATTTGAGGTTATGTAGCTTACAATGGTCTATAATCAAAATTTTACTTCTGCAGAATATTATACGGTTTTCATCTAGCAGTGAATATGTTAACAACGCTTGAAGAAAAATGTCGAGTAAACTTAAAAGCTTCAAGTCTGTAAAAAGAAAAAAAAAAGACATTCGTATGGAATCTTTTGTATATTTTGTTTTGACGAAGCTTTCATCGTTGTATACTTGTTGCTTCCGTTTGAGGCGACATCTATCTTTTAACAACGCACCTACATTTTGTTTCAACGAAGCTTTCATCGTTGTATACTTGTTGCTTCCGTTTAAGGCGACATCTATGTATAAAATGTCGAGTAAATTTAAATGATTGAAGTCTGAAAAAAAAACGTTCGTATGAAATCTTTTGTAAATAAATTTCAATAAGAAATATCAAAGTTAAAATCAAAAATCAGTAATCAATAATCAAAGGAAATAAATTTCAATAGAGTTTGTGAATTTTAACAACATTACGAAAATAAGTACTGAAACAGATTTGAGGTTATGTAGCTTACAATGGTCTATAATCAAAATTTTACTTCTGCAGAATATTATACGGTTTTCATCTAGCAGTGAATATGTTAACAACGCTTGAAGAAAAATGTCGAGTAAACTTAAAAGCTTCAAGTCTGTAAAAAGAAAAAAAAAAGACATTCGTATGGAATCTTTTGTATATTTTGTTTTGACGAAGCTTTCATCGTTGTATACTTGTTGCTTCCGTTTGAGGCGACATCTATCTTTTAACAACGCACCTACATTTTGTTTCAACGAAGCTTTCATCGTTGTATACTTGTTGCTTCCGTTTAAGGCGACATCTATGTATAAAATGTCGAGTAAATTTAAATGATTGAAGTCTGAAAAAAAAACGTTCGTATGAAATCTTTTGTAAATAAATTTCAATAAGAAATATCAAAGTTAAAATCAAAAATCAGTAATCAATAATCAAAGGAAATAAATTTCAATAGAGTTTGTGAATTTTAACAACATTACGAAAATAAGTACTGAAACAGATTTGAGGTTATGTAGCTTACAATGGTCTATAATCAAAATTTTACTTCTGCAGAATATTATACGGTTTTCATCTAGCAGTGAATATGTTAACAACGCTTGAAGAAAAATGTCGAGTAAACTTAAAAGCTTCAAGTCTGTAAAAAGAAAAAAAAAAGACATTCGTATGGAATCTTTTGTATATTTTGTTTTGACGAAGCTTTCATCGTTGTATACTTGTTGCTTCCGTTTGAGGCGACATCTATCTCTTAACAACGCACCTACATTTTGTTTCAACGAAGCTTTCATCGTTGTATACTTGTTGCTTTCGTTTAAGGCGACTTCTATGTATAAAATGTCGAGTAAATTTAAATGATTGAAGTCTGAAAAAAAAACGTTCGTATGAAATCTTTTGTAAATAAATTTCAATAAGAAATATCAAAGTTAAAATTAAAAATCAGTAATCAATAATCAAAGGAAATAAATTTCAATAGAGTTTGTGAATTTTAACAACATTACGAAAATAAGTACTGAAACAGATTTGAGGTTATGTAGCTTACAATGGTCTATAATCAAAATTTTACTTCTGCAGAATATTATACGGTTTTCATCTAGCAGTGAATATGTTAACAACGCTTGAAGAAAAATGTCGAGTAAACTTAAAAGCTTCAAGTCTGTAAAAAGAAAAAAAAAAGACATTCGTATGGAATCTTTTGTATATTTTGTTTTGACGAAGCTTTCATCGTTGTATACTTGTTGCTTCCGTTTGAGGCGACATCTATCTTTTAACAACGCACCTACATTTTGTTTCAACGAAGCTTTCATCGTTGTATACTTGTTGCTTCCGTTTAAGGCGACATCTATGTATAAAATGTCGAGTAAATTTAAATGATTGAAGTCTGAAAAAAAAACGTTCGTATGAAATCTTTTGTAAATAAATTTCAATAAGAAATATCAAAGTTAAAATCAAAAATCAGTAATCAATAATCAAAGGAAATAAATTTCAATAGAGTTTGTGAATTTTAACAACATTACGAAAATAAGTACTGAAACAGATTTGAGGTTATGTAGCTTACAATGGTCTATAATCAAAATTTTACTTCTGCAGAATATTATACGGTTTTCATCTAGCAGTGAATATGTTAACAACGCTTGAAGAAAAATGTCGAGTAAACTTAAAAGCTTCAAGTCTGTAAAAAGAAAAAAAAAAGACATTCGTATGGAATCTTTTGTATATTTTGTTTTGACGAAGCTTTCATCGTTGTATACTTGTTGCTTCCGTTTGAGGCGACATCTATCTCTTAACAACGCACCTACATTTTGTTTCAACGAAGCTTTCATCGTTGTATACTTGTTGCTTTCGTTTAAGGCGACTTCTATGTATAAAATGTCGAGTAAATTTAAATGATTGAAGTCTGAAAAAAAAACGTTCGTATGAAATCTTTTGTAAATAAATTTCAATAAGAAATATCAAAGTTAAAATTAAAAATCAGTAATCAATAATCAAAGGAAATAAATTTCAATAGAGTTTGTGAATTTTAACAACATTACGAAAATAAGTACTGAAACAGATTTGAGGTTATGTAGCTTACAATGGTCTATAATCAAAATTTTACTTCTGCAGAATATTATACGGTTTTCATCTAGCAGTGAATATGTTAACAACGCTTGAAGAAAAATGTCGAGTAAACTTAAAAGCTTCAAGTCTGTAAAAAGAAAAAAAAAAGACATTCGTATGGAATCTTTTGTATATTTTGTTTTGACGAAGCTTTCATCGTTGTATACTTGTTGCTTCCGTTTGAGGCGACATCTATCTTTTAACAACGCACCTACATTTTGTTTCAACGAAGCTTTCATCGTTGTATATTTGTTGCTTCCGTTTAAGGCGACATCTAGCTTCTAACTACGCCCAAAGAGAAATGTCGAGTAAAATGCTTGAAGCCTATAAAAAAAAGATATTCGTATGGAATCTTTTGTATATTTTGTTTTGACGAAGCTTTCATCGTTGTATACTTGTTGCTTCCGTTTGAGGCGACATCTATCTTTTAACAACGCACCTACATTTTGTTTCAACGAAGCTTTCATCGTTGTATATTTGTTGCTTCCGTTTAAGGCGACATCTAGCTTTTAACTACGCCCAAAGAGAAATGTCAAGTAAAATGCTTAAAGTCTGTAAAAAAAAAGACATTGGTATGAAGTCTTTTGTACATTTTGTTTCGACAAAGTTTTCATCGTTGTATAGTTGTTGCTTCCGTTTGAGGCGACATCTATCTTTTAACAATGCACCTACATCTTGTTTCGACAAAGGTTTCATCGTTGTATATTTGTTGCTTCCGCTTAAGGCGACATCTAGCTTGTAACTACGCCCAAGGAGAAATGTCGAGTAAAATGCTTGAAGTCTATATAAAAAAAATAAGACATTGGTATGGAATCTTTTGTATATTTTGTTTTGACGAAGCTTTCATCGTTGCATACTTGTTGCTTCCGTTTAAGGCGACATCTATCTTGTAACAATTCTCGAAGAAAAATGTCGAGTAAATTTAAAAGCTTCAAATCTTTAAAAAGAGCGGACATTCGTATGGAATCTTTTGTACATTTTGTTTCTACAAAGCTTTCATCATTGTATACTTGTTGCTTCCGTTTAAGGCGACATCTATCTTGTAACAATTCTCGAAAAAAAATGTCGAGTAAATTTAAATGCCTGAAGTCTGAAAAAAAAACATTCGTGTGTGATCTTTTGTAAATGAATTTCAATAGGAACTATCAAAATTAAAATCAATAATCAAAGGGAATAAATTTCAATAGAGTTTGTTAATTTTAGCAACATTACTGAAACAAATTTGAGGTTATGTAGCTTACAATGGTCTGAAATCAAAATTTTACTTTTGCAGAATATTATACGGTTTTCATCTAGCAGTACATATGTTAACAACGCTTGAAGAAAAAAAAAACAATACATTTGTATGGAATCTTTTGTATATCTTGTTTCAACAAAGTTTTCATCATTGCATACTTGTTGCTTCCGTTTAACCTCTTCAGGGACGATTTTTTTTTTCTTTTTTTGGGTCTATTTATTATTGACAGTAACTATAACTATAAAATCAAAAAACTAACACACATATGTGGCCGAGGGCGTGAAGAGATTAAGGTGACATCTATTTTGTAACTACTTGAAAAATGCTTCAAGTCTATAAAAAAAAAAGACATTGGTATGGACTCTTCTGTACACTTTGTTTCAACAAGGAAAATGTCGAGTTTATTGGTTGCTTAGCTTCGCGTATAGCTAAACGAAAGGACAATCACCTGTTCAGAAAATCATCGTTCGTCGTAACGATCCATCCTTGTCTTTCGCGCGTGTGCTGATGTCCAACCACAGGGTGGTTATACCGGGTGACTCACGCCATACGATTGGCACAGCCGTTAACACGGATACTTGGTTATTCTGCGCGCTCTTCGTCCGAGCTCTTTACTGGGACTATAGGCCAACGACCTCTAACACCGTTTGCTCGAATTTGTAATTAGCATAGCTTCTCGTGACCTTGGTTTTAAGTAGCGGACGAACAACGTTTAATTATTTCATTAGATCTACTGGAATTGTTTCACGCATACTTATCGACCTTTCATAGCGCAATTGACACGATACTACGATAGCAGCCTTTGCAACGCGTCCTGCTGCAGCATACAAACCAGCAATCTAACTGAACGGAATATAAAACGTTCAACTATTAAAAATGCGGGTGAAAAAAATACTCAAATAATTTTCTATATATATCATTAATAATTTTTTATGCTGATTAAAAAACTCCATCGAACGATACGATCAAAATTAGATTAATAAATGTTAAGAATGTTGTGAGAAATGCGCAAAAGGAACGGCTGAGCGAGTCTGGAATGTAAGCGACTGCGCATGAGCGGGGTGAGGGATATATAAAGCCGGGTGCACGTGGCGCGAAGGGCGTATTAGCGAGGTGCGTTGCACACGAGGGCTGTAAGCTGCGTTATATACCTTAACAATAGTCTATTTCATAAACTATAAACCTTAACATAAATAACATCGCATTCAGTTTGTTCATCGTTCGATTTCGGTCTTACGACATTTTGTTTTATCTCTAACCGTTTTAGAGATATAGCTCTTCCAAATTGCGTAAAACACTCTGTACGTCATCATAGGCACAAGTTTATAAGCTCCAAGGCCAGCATCCGTCAAATTAATTGTGTCTTGATCAAGATAACTGTGTAGAGACTATTTCCCAAGCTACAATATTTCTAACCTAATCAGTAACCCAATAGTTGACGAGATGTTGTCAATTAAACGAAATTAGATCGAAATCTAAGTACAGATATATGCATATCTTTCAAAACGTGTAAAATCGTAATTCATACATTCATTAGCCTATTGTTTTAGAGGTATTTCCCTTCATCGAGCACACTTGTCGCGTGGGACCGGAAGAATGCAAAGTGCAGGCTGGAGACTGTGCTGAATACACAAGGTTACGAGAATGTTGCTGTCATTCCTACTTAGCTTCTCTCTGTAACTATCGTTTTATGTTTTAATTGCACGTAAGTGTACACGTGTCAATTAGTAATTGTCTTATAATTTTTTTCAGGGAAATATTTAGCAAATGACGCCTGGTCATTTGTGAATACGAATCTTACAAAGTTCCTGGCGGTATTGATGGTGCTCAGGTTATTCTTACGGCCGACTTAACAAGCACGCATTAAATATATACTATTTTGTTGTACACATCGAATTATTTTAATAAATTATTTTTCCATCATTATATTTCACGCTACGATCGAAATAATTACTCCTATTTTTAGACGCTTTTTGTACTTTTCTACGGGGTTGAAAGCGTAGCCATTACGCGATACGATTTGTCAGAGCTCGAATACCCTTGCGAGTTCTGATACGTGTTTGCAATAAATGTATCGTAAAAACGATATACCGTTGAATTATTTCCTTATTTCACTTGTGTAGTCTTAAGACCCATCTCTTGTTGTGTCACATTATTTAAAATGCTACAATTTAACACTTTGACTGCCACGTCACCCATATATCGATGACAGGATTTACCATTATGGTACTAGAAAAATTAATTCTCAGAAACAAATTTTAGGTTATGTAGCTTACAATGGTCTTTTACGTGTACAGAATATTATACGGTTTTGATCTGGCAGTGAGCGTGTTAACGTACGTATTTCGTTAAATAAATTTAAGCGTTTGAATACATTCGTGTACGTTTAATTAACGAGTACACCACCAGGTGTCTCCCAGCTCATTCTAAAAGGAAGGGGAATTCCAGTAATTCTCTTGAGAAGGGTGTCCCCAAATCAAAAGATTGGTAACCAATCTCGTAGGATGACAGGAAAAGGATGCTCAGATTCACGGGATAAATGAAATCGGCGGTCGTTTTTGTATACAACATTTTGTTCTACTTTCTATTTTCTGCCCATACTGTGTAATCATCACATAATTATTATAAACGAAACGTGTTCGTCGATCGACTGCTAACTTGTATCTTGCACGTTCCCTATATGCAGACAAAGCAAACATAGAAATTGCATAAAGTGTCATCTACGTGTCCCTGAAATTATTACAGTTCGATTAACAACATGAACGACACTACTCTACTCCGCCAATTATTATTTTACTTGCAAGAATATTAACCTTTTGCATCTCACTAGCACTAAAATTTAATTTATATAGTGATACAAACTGAATTAACAAAATAAAATTTGAATTATAAACATTTTTAAAGTTACCAGTCGTTCATATTGGAAACAATTCTTGGAGTGCAAAAGAGAGTCATTGTTAAAGCGTTTAACTGTTTCAATATAATATTCAGATTATTTAAATTACAATTAAACCCTTCTTTCGTAACAAAAATTATGTTTATGAAATGTTTTTATTCGCCCGTCGAATTAAAGAGCTCGGAACTATTATATTAATACCAATCGATTGATAGTACCATTTCTATTGTACTTTCTTCGTCTTTTCCTTGGGCTGAAGACTTTCTGCAATCTTTGGTAATATTTCGGTAAATATTACTGTTCCCACAAATACTAGAAGCGTTCCAATCCAGTGGTACACTGTAAAAGGGTTCTGGAAGTACACTATCGAAAATAGTAAAGACAGGAATTTTCGTAACGTTATTACTAAAGTTACTGTGAGCGATGTGCATTCTGTCGTCAACACGAAAACAGAACTAATGCACATGTATCTGAAATTATTGTTAAGAATAGGACAGAAACAATGAATAAAAATTTTTAAATTAAAAATTAGCCAATATTGGTAAAAGGATACTGCGTGAGAACGTTTCCCATAAGGTACAAAATTAATTTCGGCACTTGTAAATTGATATACGATATTTGCAACGGTTCTGATGCAAGTGCGTATGTAAAATGGTCCCATATATTAGGAGCTAACGTTATAAAAAATGGCAATGGCAATAGATGCTGAAAAAAAAAACATCAAAAGTGATATTATTTTTAAAAAAAAGTTGTTCATAGAATATCGATACAAGCCAAAGTATACCGTATAGTATAGTGCCTCTCTTGCATTCTTTCCGTACTTCTTGTGCAAAACTTCTTGATAAATACCCATTCTGGCAGAAACAAATAGAGCGATCGTTAATAACGAAATACCCATTATCCACCAAAACAGATCGTCCCACGGTGTAGTAGCCACTTGTTCAACATTTTTAGCTTGCAAAGATTTGATTTCTTTGCCGCTAATGATCGTGCAGATTACAATTCCAAACGTAATCATAAACACCGATAAAAATTTACTAAATGCATACTTTTTCTTCAAGATAAGGATACCCATTATCATGTTAGCTATCAGAGAACCCTAAAACAATATGTATTAATATTAGGATAAATCCAAAGATTTAAAGATTCAGAAGATTCTACTTTCGAGTACTTACAGCCCTGAATATCATATGTAACGGCATAGGTATATTAAAATCAAACGCATAATTATTACAAACGTTTGTAATGAAAAACATCGTTACCAATACGAAATAATCCTTTATTCCGATATTGGGCTTCACGGTGCCACATTTCGATGTAAATAAAAATCCTTCTATCGATATGAAAAGAAACTGTGCGAACGTAATGAGGTTCCCGCTACCAGGATCTTCTCTGAAAAAAAAATATATCACTATTATTTCATCAACGACAATGAATATTATAAAATTTAGGACATAATCTTTGTACGCTGTCTTAAAAAATGTGGGTCACTGTGTTTGTAAATTTAAAATACTAGCGCACTGAATTACTATGTTATAATTTTTTAATGGGTTTAATGTAAGTATCGAGTATTTACTTAACGAGATATTCTAGGAGAACGACATTGCTGCAACAGCCGAGGAAGACGCACAAAATTGCAACGGCTGCACTCATATTATATTATTTACTGGGTACCATAAAAGTTAACCTAAAATTATAAATAGCCACACGCGTTTGAGACACTCGTACTCGTGTTCCGTTTCGAAATCATATAGAGCGGGTACGTTATTTAGCAATTATAACTATTTATCAGGAAGCACGTATACTCGAGAATGTGATGTATCATCTAAACGTTTCACATATTCCATCCACTTCATACACATCTAAATAAAAACCACACTATGAGCACGTGAAACATTATTTAATTTCCTATCCCCACCACTATATATAGAATTTTAATAACACTGCTTTATAAGAGATAACATACAAATCTTATGTAACTATACTATGAACAGTGCATATGATTTTTCTATAATTATACATTGCACATACCTGATAAGGCACAAATTAATTCCCGCGATTTTTCAGCCCCTTTCAATAATCTGACAAAAAAATGTTTACTATCGAAATTAATCGATATTCGATCGACGAAAAATTGCAGTTGCTTAAATTTAAAAACAAATTGGTTTTTGATAAACAATTAAGATCATTGTTATATAGGGTGTTCGGCCACCAGTGGGAAAAATTTTAATGGGGGATTCTAGAGGCCAAAATAAGACGAAAATCAAGAATACCAATTTGTTAATGGAGGCTTCGTTAAAAAGTTATTAACGTTTAAAGTTCCGACCGAATTGAATTTTTTTCTCGAAAATGCGCAAGATTTGGAGGGTATGTGTATTCACCAAAAATGATTGTAATTGACCCTCACAACCGAAAATAATTTTTTCAAAACGATTTGAAATTTTTCTTTTCCGTTGAAAAATTTCACACCTTTTTGAATTTTTTTTTTTAAAGTGGGTAGGATTTCGAGGGTATGTCTATTCACCAAAAATGATTGTAATTGACTCGTGCAATCGAAAGTAATTTTTCCAGAGTGATTTGAAACTTTTCAATTTCGTCGAAAAATTTAGGCATCTAATTAGATTTTTGGTAAGGAATTTTTTTCTCGAAAGTGCGTAAGATTTCGGGGGTATGTGTATTCACCAAAAATGATTGTAATTGACCCTCACAACCGAAAATAATTTTTTCAAAACGATTTGAAATTTTTCTTTTCCGTTGAAAAATTTCACACCTTTTTGAATTTTTTTTTTTAAAGTGGGTAGGATTTCGAGGGTATGTCTATTCACCAAAAATGATTGTAATTGACCCTCACAACCGAAAATAATTTTTTCAAAACGATTTGAAATTTTTCTTTTCCGTTGAAAAATTTCACACCTTTTTGAATTTTTTTTTTTAAAGTGGGTAGGATTTCGAGGGTATGTCTATTCACCAAAAATGATTGTAATTGACTCGTGCAATCGAAAGTAATTTTTCCAGAGTGATTTGAAACTTTTCAATTTCGTCGAAAAATTTAGGCATCTAATTAGATTTTTGGTAAGGAATTTTTTTCTCGAAAGTGCGTAAGATTTCGGGGGTATGTGTAATGACCAAAAATGATTGTAATTGACCACCGTAATCGAAAATAATTTTTTTAGAACGATTTGAAAAAATTTTTTTTCCGTTGAAAAATTTAACACCTTTTTGAATTTTTTTTTAAAAAGTGGGTAGGATTTCGGGGGTATGTCTATTCACCAAAAATGATTGTAATTGACCCGTGCAATCGAAAGTAATTTTTCCAGAGTGATTTGAAACTTTTCAATTTCGTCGAAAAATTTAGGCATCTAATTAGATTTTTGGTAAGGAATTTTTTTCTCGAAAGTGCGTAAGATTTCGGGGGTATGTGTAATGACCAAAAATGATTGTAATTGACCACCGTAATCGAAAATAATTTTTTTAGAACGATTTGAAAAAATTTTTTTTCCGTTGAAAAATTTCACACCTTTTTGAATTTTTTTTTTTAAAGTGGGTAGGATTTCGAGGGTATGTCTATTCACCAAAAATGATTGTAATTGACTCGTGCAATCGAAAGTAATTTTTCCAGAGTGATTTGAAACTTTTCAATTTCGTCGAAAAATTTAGGCATCTAATTAGATTTTTGGTAAGGAATTTTTTTCTCGAAAGTGCGTAAGATTTCGGGGGTATGTGTAATGACCAAAAATGATTGTAATTGACCACCGTAATCGAAAATAATTTTTTTAGAACGATTTGAAAAAATTTTTTTTCCGTTGAAAAATTTCACACCTTTTTGAATTTTTTTTTAAAAAGTGGGTAGGATTTTGAGGGTATGTGTAATGACCAAAAATGATTGTAATTGACCCGTGCAATCGAAAACAATTTTTCCAGAGTGATTTGAAACTTTTCAATTTCGTCGAAAAATTTAGACATCTAATCAGATTTTTGGTAAGGAATTTTTTTCTCGAAAGTGCGTAAGATTTCGGGGGTATGTGTAATGACCAAAAATGATTGTAATTGACCACCGTAATCGAAAATAATTTTTTTAGAACGATTTGAAAAAATTTTTTTTCCGTTGAAAAATTTCACACCTTTTCGAATTTTTTTCTAGGAAATGGGTAGAATTTCGAGGATATGTTTAATGACCAAAAATGATTGTAATTGACCCCCACAAACGAAAATAATTTTTCTAGAACGATTTGAAATTTTTTAATTTAATTGTTAATAACTTTTTAACGAAGCCTCCATTAACAAATTGGTATTCTTGATTTTCGTCTTATTTTGGCCTCTAGAATCCCCCATTAAAATTTTTCCCAGGGGTGTCCGAACACCCTGTATTTTTAAGTGGAAATAGGTATTTTTAATTTCGTAATATTGTAGACATCGTGTTGAGTTTTAATTGAACTTTACTAAACTCTTAATTATACAAAAGAACAAATTATATTTCTGATTTTACATATTATAATACAGTGAAAACTCGATAAATGTCCTCAAGAGCTGTTCCATAAATGATACATTTTTATCCCCACCACTAGGGGGATCCCCCTTGAACCAGTGAGGCGAAGTGTAACCGGAGACGTAGCGGCTTTCTTTAAAAATCTTTATTGCCTTCGTCAGCTTAGTTTAAATGTCCCTGTCAGTGTGACCACACTACTGTACAAGAAGAAAGTTTTTTATTTTTTACTTTTTTTTAATAAAAATTTTACTATCATGTGGGGAAGATTTTTCTAATTAAAATGAGACTAAACACGATATAAATCGGCCAATATTTGTTACCATAATATTGAATTAAATATTGTGTACTCGTATTTTCGCAAGGTCAGTGGGATTGGTACATTTATCGAACAGTGGTAGCTAACGAAACCCCCTATTTCATAAGTGTTGCAGTTTTTGATCACCTACGAAACGGTGGAACCGTTCCGTTTGAAAATAGCTACCTCCCGTTCGATAAATGTAGCCAGCACCTCGATGCGTCGTTCTTTGATATTTCCGAACATAGAAAAGGACAGCACAAGAAGGATAAATAAAGAGAGAAAGACTCGCAAGTACAATATTTAATTCAATATTATGCTACCAAATATTGACCGATTTATATCGTGTTTAGCCTCATTTTAATCAGAGAAATCTCCCCAACATGATAGTGAAATTTTTATTAACAAAAAGTAAAAAATAAAAAACTTTCTTCTGTGCAGTAGTGTGGTCACACTGACGCGGATATTTAAACTGGGGCGATAAATCCGAGTTTCAGTCCCTCTTTCTTCTTTAGCTACTGACTCTTTCTACGTTCGAAGCGTCGGCAAACTACAATCAAATTCGAAAGACGATTCTCCTATTCCGTAAGTGTTGCTGACCGGACCCGGAGTAGCGACATTTATCGAGTTTTCACTGTATAACGATAAATTAAACTTAAACATATTCAACTTTTCTCTTCTGGAACTTCGTTCATTCTTTTTTTTTTAAGAATCTTGTTTGCGTCTCTTCTTCTTTTTTTTAACAGTGTTGCCAAGCCACCAAATTCTAACATATCGAAACGAATTCAACGACATGCTACACTATGACCTTCGGATGACATTGAAAGAAAAATTGGCATGAATCGATCACAACAATATTTTAAATAATTCGTTGGTAAATAATACCAAGGCCTCGCAATTAGACGTAAACAAATGAACGTAAACATTACGAATGTTCATTTATTCAACTTCAGAACTTAACAAAAAATAAAATAAGTAGAAAGAAGTTCTCTAATTGAAACTACACATAAGACTTTATTGGAAAGAGTAGAACTTAGCATCGCAGAAGGTGAAATGCAATTCGAATATTTAATTTATTTACTAATTACATGCACCTTTTTAACATGCATGTTTTCAGTTTAGTTTTGCATAAATTTTCCTTTTATTTTGTGTGTTAAGTTCTGAAGTTGAATAAATGAGCGCTCGTAACGTTTACGTTCATTTGTTTACGTCTAAATGCGAGGCCATACTGTTATCTATCGCCGAATTATTTGAAATATTGTGGCGATCAATTCATGGCAATTTTTCTTTCAAGGTCATCTGAAAGTCACCGTGTAGCAAATCGCTGAATTCGTCACAATGTCGTCTGCAATATTATCAAGTTAAAAATAGCTACTTCCATTTCAAAATATAACAGTGACTTTAATTTTTTATCGAAAATCAATTTGTTTTTAAATTTGAATATTGGTTCAATATGAAACATATTTTTGTGAGACTAATTTGTGCCTCACCTTGAGTATGTTAATATTAAAAGTCACGTAATAGTTTAGAACTTTCTAAATTATAATTTATTTTTTACGAATTACAATGCTAGACATAAGTATTGACACAGTACACGATTCTTTATCTCTTTGGGGCACGATGACATTAATCCCACTTTTTTAATGCACCGTAATGCATGATGGGACATTTTCAGTCCAACCTCGAAATATTGCAATAGCTGCATGCGCGCGCATAGGTTTATATTTCGTCTTATTTACGTAAAGCAGTTGGTAATAACTTCGACAAATGTTACACTTACAATTGTATTCATTTGTTTGGCAACATTCATACAGGTTCATCAATTGTTGCAAGAGGAAAGTTTATTACTATTTTTTCATGTTTTTACATTATGTGATACCTTTATTAATAAAAATATACCAACTTTGTTTAATTTAAAACGCAATAAAATTTCTATGCAACATTTTTTGTGTGTTCTTTATTTACAATACTTGTTTATATAAATATATTGAAAAAACGATATATACTATCGAGTGATTTTTTAATTTAATTTATATGTAGTTTTGGAACTATTTGTTATACATGTTAAACGCTTTCAGTTTTATATATTTTATTAGTTGTATGTTATAAATGTTAATGTTTAATATTTTTATCTGCATACTTGCTACCCCACTACTTGACGAAGTGGTATAGCAAATTCATCATAATTTTCCTTGTCTCATGCACTGCACCGAATTTCTATAATCACGGCATGATTTCGTATTTCTCTCTCTACTATATTTTATATTAGATTAGTTTCTATAAACAATTGAAATTTTAATATATTATGGCTAAAAATGGAAATGTTATCATACTCATGCCAAATGGACATCGACGTAACGTGAAAGTTACACCAAACACTACAATATTACAAGTAAGTTATTTGTGTGTACGTTTATTATTGGACGAATGTTGTTATTTAAATTTTCATATGTTGAGTACAAATTATTATTTGTAGATTTTGGAAGAAGTTTGTAATAAACATGGTTATGATCCAGATGATTACGATGTCAAGTATGTACCATCAACAAATAAATACAGTCAGTCAAAAAAGTCTCCGTACACCGTAGAAGAATTTATTTAAAGTTGCATAATTTTAAAGGAAATGGTAATAAATAAATAATTCTTTCGTTACTATGTTCAGAAATATAACATTAATTATTAGTGCAAACAAAAGGTTGTTACATGCTTTTGTTAGCAAATAAACGAACAAGAATGACGACTAAACTTAAAAATTAGTTCGAACAATGCCAAAGAGGATGCAAGAAATTATGAAATTAAAAGGGCCGCCCAGCTGACCACTAGTTAACAGATTATGAATAATAGTGTTACATGTACGGAGACATTTTTGACCTCGTTTTCGTTGAGTTTTAGTTTTGCCTTTGTTTATTCGTTAACACATAAATTTAACATAGTTTTTCTCGTACTGTTATTAAATGTTATGTTTGTAAACATAACGCAAGAATTATTTAATACCATTTCCTTTAAAATTATGTAACTTTAAATAAATTCTTGTACGGTGTACGGAGACTTTTTTGACTGACTGTAAGTATAAAATATAAAATTACAACAGACTTTAATTAACATTTTATCTATTTTTTTAGACACTTTCGCCGTGTATTGGATCCTAATGCAATGTTACGGTTCGCGGGACTATCAAACAATGCACAACTAGAAATGATACCTTGTACAAAGAAACGTTCCACATTGACAGTGACAATAGCTATACAATTAGAAAACGGAGAACGAAAAATGGGTGAATTCATGTCTAATATAACGTTACTTGAAATTTTGCAACAACTATGTCTTGACCAGGATCTTGAAAAAACTCTATTAACATATATGCATCGAGAGGTATGGAAATATCTATTAATTTTTTATTATTATTATTGTAAACCATCTATAAAATTCAAACTGTATTATCGGTAAAATAATAAAATCATTATTTTTCTAGATTTATGGAATAGAAGCTTTGATGAACGCAACTTTAAAGTCGCTAGGAATTACTAACGGTAAAGCTGTATTGCGCTTAATGTACAGAGATCCTCAACAAACAGACTGTCAGACTTCAACAATTGATTCTAATAAAACATCAAATGTTACGACTCCATTGACAAAAGAAACACAGAAATCAAAACAATCGGAAGTACGTTCTCAGAGTGTAATAGATAACACGCAAGAATTAACAACTTTAGATAAAGGAAACGAAATTCTTACAACAGAGGAATGTCAGTCGATGCCATCAACTAGTACAAATTACGCCATTGCTAGAAGTGAAATTATATCGAAACCATCCACTACGAATGGAATAACAGATACAAATGAAATAGAATTTGTAAGATTTGCTTACATAAGAATATATATTTAAGAAAATATACAAGATGTTCGGCCACCACTGGGAAAAATTTTAATGGGACATTCTGGAGGCCAAAATAAGACGAAAATCAAGAATACTAATTTGTTGATGGAAGCTTCGTTAAAAAGTTATTAACGTTTGAAGTTCCGCCTGTGGAACAGCTGCGCACGCGTGACTGCGCATGCATCTCTACCGTGCGCGCGCAGCTGTACGCAAGTTGCCTATCTACAGGCGCCAACTTTAAACGTTAATAACTTTTTAACGAAGCCTCAGTCAAGAAATTGATATTCTTGATTTTCGTCTTATTTTGGCCTCAAGAATCCCCCATTAAAATTTTTCCGAGGGGTGGTCGAACACCCTGTATCTACATATATGTTATTTATAGCTTTTTGTTTATAGTTGGGCGAACGAAATGCTATGGTATTCAATCTTGATATTATTGAAGCATTACCTGAAGACGAAGTGCCAGATGTTTTTTACGATGTAACAGTTGATGATGCAAAAGTAATATTAAGAGATTTTAAACGTCGCAGAGAAGAACTAGAAGAAGCCCCTTTTTTAACAAAAGTTCAACGAGAATTAAACGAAGAAATCAGAACCTTGAGTCAATTAAATAAGTATCATTATACGATAATCCGTATACAATTTCCAGATCAGTTTGTCCTTCAAGGATTGTTCCGACCACTGGAAACTGTACAAGCGATAAAAGACTTTGTAAAAAGCTACTTGAGCGATCCCAGTAGCGAGTTCCTAATTTGTAAGTAATATAAACAAACCTTGAAACTAAGAAACTTATGTATTTAAAATTTTTACCAAAAATCTGTTGTTTTTGTGATATTTAGATTAAAAGTTTTTAAACGACCACTCCGTCTGTTTTTAAAAATTATACAATTTAATGCAAATTTCATTTCTCGATAGTTACTACTCCACCAAAACATATTTTAAATAGCAGTGCACGTTTAATTGACGAAGATTTGGTACCTTCTGCTATCATTCATTATTCTGGGCAATCTGCTCTTAGATCTGATATAAAACAAAAATTAACGGATCCTAAAGACGTTGAAATGCAAGTTACTAAAGTTAGGTAAGCGATTAACCACGTTGTATACTACATATTACAATACAAATTTTATTTTATATATTATACCAACTTATTTTCAGAGTATCGATGACAAACCAACAAAGTGAAACAGTTAACAAAGACGCGAACGTTACTGATCCGGCATGTAGTAAACCAGTTAAGGTTTGTAATGCAAGTACTAGCGAATCGAAACAAAACAAAATACCAGCGTGGTTAAATCTACCATTTAAAAAGTAAACCAACTTTGTGATTGTTAATAAATTCAAGTAATTATAAGTATTTTATTAATATTTATGTAATCTAAAGAAATATAACGCGAGTGAACAGTTATATTTGCATTGAAACAAGTATCGTCCTTCCGCGAAAAGAAGGCACAGCGTGTTTACATCCCCCACTCTTGCTGCTGTCCGCTGATTGGCTGTCACGTCACAGTTATCGGCCAATAGTGAGTCAGCGGACAGCAACAGGAGTGGGGTTGTAAACACGATGTGCCTTCTTCTCGCGGAAGAATGGTAGAATCCTGTCTTGTGTGGCGAGGTATAACCATTTTTTAACCAAGCAAATGAAATTGAAAAAAGTCCATGTAATGGTAGACATTGACTCTCGATGCCCCATGTTGACAGTTTAGAATACAATAATGAACGGATTTGATGATCTTTCTTTGATAAATAAAAAGGCATTTTAAGTAAAAATTGATTTCATTCGACTGTATCATAGAGTTCAATGCACGCACGCACACGTATCCACACACATATCGTCTTTCCACAAGAAGAAGGTATAGTGTGTTTACATCCGCACTCTTGCTGCAGTCCGCTGATTGGCTGTCACCGTTTTCGACCAATAGTGAGTCAGCTGACAGCAGCTAGAGTGGGGACGTATGATACGCATGCGTGCACGCCCATACACACATACACGAAACATGTATATATACTTTTTTTACTTTCTGAAACAATAAATAGCTGTGATTTAATTTACATAAAATGATCAACAATACTTTCGACCTATTAACAATTGTTAATATATTTTGATAAAAATTATTTTATAATGTTATTAACTTTGTAAGTCGGGTGGTACTGTGGTCGGCGATTGTAATTGCAAATGCATGAGCCGTCGAACAGGTCCACCTATCATATTCCCGATTGGTCCTGAACCACCCGCCTCCTCTTTGATACTTTTTATTAAATTCTCTTCTATTATGTCAGATCTTTTTCGCATCTCGAAACTCTCGTCTTTCACCATTTCAGATTGCAGTTCTGAGTTTAATAATCTCATATACTTATCCATTTCACCGCCTGTATCTTCATCGTCTTCGCCTAAAGAACCTTCCGAACTCCCTTCAAACTCTCCTTCGCTTTCTGGAACAGCTAAATCTAATATACCTTGTAACGTACAATCAAATATATCTGCATCGAATTCAACTTTTTCATTGTCTTCTGAATCGTGCATTATGTCAGCCTCCATGGAACGATCTCTGTATAAAAACATACAGATTAAAATTTATACGATACTAATAGGATCATAATATAAATAACGTACTCCAAAAATTGTACACCATCGATATTGCTAGTATGATTGAAGAAGGATTGTACTTTTTCTCTGAGACTCAATGGTTCTTGTCCCTGTTTTTTATTCTTAACGTTTCCCCACTGTTCGTTTAAGAATGCATTTAATTGTACTGGATCCACATTTAACCAACTGTCGCTATTCGCTGGACTTAATGTAACTTCATCTTGGGCTATGTATAAAATACAGTATCAAACAATAGTCGAATGTAAATGGAATTTTATTAACACGTTGACCGCCGTGTCGCCCATATTTGGGTGTTTTCATGAAATCAGTAGCGCTTTTCAAATAATTTGCAAAGTATTTTATAGTAAAGCAATTATATAGTATAATTGATTTAGACTTTGGAAAATTACATAATAATACATCAATTTTTTATCTTTGAAACTAATAGAAACGATAGAAAATTATTATCTACAGTCGAACCAAGAATTTTTAGCCCTGCAGATATATTCGATTTGTGTTGGTCAACGTGTTAATGTTAATTTTAATGGAATTACCATGCAATTCAACGTCGTTAGATTGTATGCTTTCCCATGCTTCTAAAACTTTTTCAGCGTCGCTTTTAACGATATTTGTCGCGTAAGTAAATGAACTTAAATGTTGCAAGTAGTAATCTTTTGCCGCGTTCAGAAGTCTTTCGTAATCTTGACTACCTTTCAACAGATTTCTAAAGTAACCGCTAGTTTCTAAACGTGCTAAATATGCATTCAGAGCGTATTCATTTGTCTTCAATTTCTCAGTATTATTAATTGTTTGATTCACTCTTTTTCTACGTTCTTCGTGTGCATTGGCAACTAACATCTCTAAACCACAGGCTATCTTAACGCCGAGTATATGAGCATTGTATTTCGAACAGGTTATCGGTGGTATATTCCAGCCAGTTCTCGGATCTCCCGTATATCGACAATGCATTGCCATTGCATACAGACATTTAGTCATTTTCAAATTAACCATAATTCGCTGTTCGGGGGGAAAGTACTTCATGGCTCGACAGACCTATGGGACGTAAAAAAGATGTCATGAAAATAAATTAAAGGGTACAGCCGAACAAGGGGGTCAAATGTGCCCTTGAACGAAATTTGACATACGATGTGTGGGCGTTGCTTCCCATGCTAGACACCAGAGGATTGAAACATGACGCAGAATGTTTGGTTCTGATTCTTCATCGATGGATCCATCGTATGTCAAATTTGGTTCGAGGGTACATTTGACCCCCTTTTAATTCTACTCCAGTATAATATGGAATCCTTACTTTTCTCTCGAGAGGATCAGAGTGACAAATAGATCTAATAGCAGGTGCAACGAGTCCAGGTTCTTGATAGAGTATTGAAACTGCCTTTTCCGGTAAAAAGACTCTAGCTTTGTGATACCTTTTCTTAATCTCGTTTGGATAAACAAATATTCTTTTTTTCAAAACATCTTGTACTTTGTCAGAAGCTTTGGAGAAATACGGAGTTGTCTGTATATGATTCAATAAATCAATCAGAGTTTTATTCTTTTCTCGAATAATATGCAACTCTCCGTTATAAACAAACGTATGTTGCTCGCATGTTTCAGGATTGGCCCACGGAGGCAAAACATTCGCTGCTTCGATTAATAAAAATTCTCCGTCAGAATCTATTAGTCTAGCAATTAATCCATCAAAAGTCTGTGTAAGCTTAAATATTAGAAACGCTATAAACCATTCGTCACTTACATCTTCGTCAAAGTGCACAGACGCGTAAACATGAGGTAGCACATTGCATTCTGCAAGACACAAATAATAATATACAAATACAATTACGATTGCAAATTTTCAGAAGTGAAATTACACGTTACCTTCTATATTCGTTGAATTATCAACAAGTTTCTCCAATAACAATGCTTGCTTTGTTCTAGGATGAAACGTTAAGGTATTGCTGTGCCAAATATAATCTTTAACATACAAAGCGATTTCTTTGTTGAATTTTTCGATTTCTTGCAAAAGTATTTCCTCCGTTATCGTTTCCAATGGTCTCGTGTAACAAATTTTTGGATAAAGAAAACATTCAAGGAGATCGTCCTCTTTCGCTATAGATATTTTTGTATCCGCCATAGTTTTGCTACCTAAAATGTTTAATAACTATCAAAATGTTAATAATCTTCGATTTAGCAGTAATTTAAAAATATTTCGACATTGTTTATACATACAAAACGATTAATATATTTTTACAAACATTTGAGATATTCGATGAGAAACTTTACGTAAAAGCTTCGAGATTCTTTGAAAACGTTTTATACACGAAATGTTTGTATCAAAATTTATAATATACTTTTACAAATTAACATTACAGTATGGTATTGCATGTTTAATTTACATTAATGTATTCAAACGCTCGAGTATATTTACCAGGAGGGATTGGTGTATCTGGATTGTTTTGAAAATATAACTATAAATGTTTTTCACATTGTCCAAAACAACACAGATTACTAACTACGCGTTCTTCACGTTGGTTACTGTCGGAGGCAGACAACTCTTTGCAGTGATGCCAGACGGAGCCCTCGGTGCACCGTGAACTCTTCATTTGACATCCGTACACTGTGCCAGATCACGCGTAAATGAACTCGGTAAAGTTTCGGAGAGTCGACAAAACCAAACGTTTTATTGTGTTTAGAGAACCAACATCTGCATTTGGGCAAATGTAATACGTATTCGTACTTTCAACTTTTCTTTGTGCTTTAAGCGTAATATTCATTAACTTGAAACTATGTATATGCATTGGTCCATTTCAGAGATGCCAGAAAAGCACCGCCGGGTGCACACGCACACATGCCAGATACGCGTACGTGAGCTCGTGGAGTTTCGGAAAGTCGACAAAGGCAAACTGACGCATGCCCTCTTTCTCGATTCTCCGAAGCTGCCCGAAGTAATTTCGGATCGCCTCGTGGGAGTCGAGAGAGAAAGGCTCACATTTGCCTTCTCGCTCTAAACAACTGAAATCCGACCTCCCGTCAACGGCATACGATTTGGATTCTCGAGCCGAGATTCTCGACTGCCCAGGCATTTTTACTTTCCGACCTATGTAGGCGCATATAAGCAAAGTACCCATAATGAAAAAAAAATTTTGTAAAATTTATTTTACGGAAATACACGTTTTAAAACCTCCTGATCATATTTTAATTATTGAAAAAAAAGACATTTTTTTTTATTCCCATGTATGAGCACACATATGTATATTATTAATACGATTTTTGAAAATCAAAATACTTTAAGATTGAAAATTAATAAATTAAAATGAGATTCCACTCTTTACCAGTATTGTGCACGCTGTGGTATTTTTCAATAAGAAGAGTTCTTACTTTTATAACATAAACAAAACAGTAGAATTAATAATTGCAGAAATTAATTAATAATGATTTTCCTCGATTGTTTTGAAATAACCGTATCAATTGGTTATGACGAACTAAATAGAACTAACTAGAAACAAAGGAAAAGTGATCCCGTTTGCCAGATTAATACAAAGTATGGGTTGTATCTTAAATTTTAAAAGCACATAGTCGAATATTTTTAAAGGTATAAAACATAGCGTTTCATTGTAGAACAGTAACATAAGTTAGCAGGTAATGTCATAAAACTGTTTTTCCCAGCTATATCCCTTTTTACCTGAAGTATAAGGTAAAAAGTACGAGCTACAAGGTACGACTATCCGAAAATCGTTCACATTTTATCAATGTAAATGAAGCGGCCTTTCCATCAGAGTTAAATACAAAATTTTGTAATTTCTGTGAAAACAAAACTTTCAGTAAATGTACGTGGTGCTTGAAATTTTTATGTTTTGACTGTTTTTGTGAAAAGTACCATCCAGATTCATGTACTTCGTACATTGTAAATAACATATGTTAAATGTAATCGATTAAATTTAACTTTAAAAAAAAATATTCGAAGGTCAGACAAAAATGTAATGTCATATTTAGTGTACGATTAAAGTATGATTGAAAAAATAAAAAAAAAAGTTCAAGCAGGGTTTGAACCAGCAGAGCAGAAGAAGTTCGGAACTTGCAGGCAAAGACCTCATCACTCACGGCACGCTGATTAGTGATGAACATAGTTCTATTTCTGAAAATAAGTACCTGTAATAACTTTAATAATATCTCAAAGTAAAACCTAACCCAAAACCTGGTACCATTCCAACTTTTCCTTGTTAGAAACGAGTTTTCAATTTGTCTTAGCGAAAATCGCAATCACATTTTGCACATTATTCTAAAACATTTGTGGTATTCGTTTTCAATGCGATTTAAGTAAGCATGTAATGTATAAGATTTCATTTAATGTTTTCTTTTCTAGAGAAGATAGAGAAAAAGTTTATATAATTTTTTTTATATAAAATTTAATTCGTCCTAAGATTTATATGAAACATTTCAAAGATTTTTTATACATTATGCCTATATATCCGAACAACTATGAAACAAGAGGTATAATCTGTAAGGAGTGTATGTGTGTGGCTAGGAGAACCGTTATCGTTTGCGTCGATAGGAGTGTTTAGTCTAAGCTAGAGTAGGTATCGAGTGAGGTGTTTAGGTTTAAGCTGAAATACGTTTTAGAGACTGCGTCTCGAACGTGCGTTTTGTTTAGATCATTATTATAAAATAGGAATAAGGAAGGGTCGACTTTGACTGCAGGAACGTCACTCTGTATCGAACGTTAGTCGAGAGCAATCACAGTTTTACGATTATGATCTTTTACGTTTACGTTTTATGTCTTTCTTTTATGTTCTTTATGTTAAATAGTTAGTAAATATTAAATAATATAATTACATCGTTACGTTTAGTGTTCACGTATTTGAATCCGTCCACACGCCTTTGAAATGAGAACATAAAACTTAAATGTAAAGTTTCATTTAGATTCATTCAGCTATTTATATTCAATCGTATTAATAATATACATATGTGTGCTCATATATGGGAATAAAAAAAATGTCTTTTTTTTCAATAATTAAAATATGATCAGGAGGTCTTAAAACGTGTATTTCCGTAAAATAAATTTTACAAAATTTTTTTTTCATTATGGGTACTTTGCTTATGTGCGCCTACATAGGTCGGAAAGTAAAAATGCCTGGGCAGTCGAGAATCTCGGCTCGAGAATCCAAATCGTATGCCGTTGACGGGAGGTCGGATTTCAGTTGTTTAGAGCGAGAAGGCAAATGTGAGCCTTTCTCTCTCGACTCCCACGAGGCGATCCGAAATTACTTCGGGCAGCTTCGGAGAATCGAGAAAGAGGGCATGCGTCAGTTTGCCTTTGTCGACTTTCCGAAACTCCACGAGCTCACGTACGCGTATCTGGCATGTGTGCGTGTGCACCCGGCGGTGCTTTTCTGGCATCTCTGGACCATACTTTATTTTTATAATAAAGAAGGAATTACTGCTATATGAAAGTCTGCACCGCCATCTACGGCGGAACGCCTAAGTTACCAACGCTTAATGGTGATTCAAATATAATAAATGTGGGAAAATGTCACCCACGTATCTCTAGGCTCCAGGAAGGGGACTCAGAAGAATGAATGAATGTGTCTAGCATAACGGTAACAAAGGAACTGTTTATTCGAAAATAACTGGGACGCGTGGCCACATCTGCACGCCGTGAGAGCTGAACAAAGAATGGCTCTGCGGCATCACGCTGAGCGCAACATGGCCGCTTCCCCCACTCTAGCAGCTAGAGTGAGAGGGGAGACCGCAGTCCCCAAAATAAATCGAAACATATCTTTGTAAGCGTCAGCTTCGAACTCGTGCTCGAATAACTAACACGTGGTCGAATAATTAACACGTGGTTGACTGATTTTAGATATACATATTGTATGTATATACAGGGTGTTTGATCACCCCTGGGAAAAATTTTAATGGAGAATTCTAGAGGTCAAAATAAGATGAAACTCAAAAATACCAAATTGTTGATTGAAGCTTCGTCAAAAAGTTATTAACAATTAAATTCAAAAATTTCAAATCGTTCTGGAAAAATTATTTTCGGTTGCGGGGGTCAAATACAATTACTTTTGGTCATTACACATGCCCCCGAAATCCTACCCACTTTCGAGAAAAAAATTCGAGTAGGTACAGAAATTTTTAGACGAAATTAAAAAATTTCAAATCATACTAAAAAAATTATATTTACTTAGAGAGGTCAATTACAAGCACTTTTGGTGAATAGACATACCCGCGAAATCCTACCCACTTTCTAGAAAAAAATTCGAGGTGTAAAATTTTTCGACGGGGAAAAAAAATTTCAAATCCTTTTGGAAAAATTATTTTCAGGTGCGAGGGCCAATTACAATCATTTTTGGTGACTAGACATACCCCCGAAATCTTGCGCATTTTCGAGAAAAAAATTCAGTACGGGCGGGATTTTAAACGTTAATGACTTTTTAACGAAGCCTCCATCAACAAATTGGTATTCTTGATTTTCGTCTTATTTTGGCTTCTAGAATCTCCCATTAAAATTTTTCCCAGGGGTGGCTGAACACCCTGGATATATTTGAGAAAGAATGCAGAATGAAAAAGAAAAAGGAAATAGACTAATCTCTTGCATTTATAATACGGAAAAATCGAAATAAAGCAGACAGTCCTTCGTGGCTAGAAAATCGCACACACACATTCTGACCATCCTTTGTCATTAACTGTTCAGGTGCGACTGTCCTATCTCACGCACGTTCATTTCCCGCTTGCGAAGTCTGAATTCGCCGATAGGGGGCAATGCTCGTCGCTAATTTCGCGCGTACATCTTTTTGTTTTTATTTATTTACTTATTAATAACAACTAAAAGCCAAAGAGATACGTAAACCTAAGAGATGCTTAGCTGTTGTTAATAAATAAATAAATAAAAACAGAAAGATATGTTTCGATCTATTATATTTTGATTGCCCTCTAGCGTTGGAGGGAAGGAACTATTTTTCGACAAACTTGGACGTCTGCCGCAGATGGTGGTATAATCGCAAAGTGGCGCGAACTTTTGAATTAAAAAAAATCAGTTATGGAATTTATGAAATAGATCAATGAATATAATGTATATTACGCTTAATACGATGTGTAAATGTTAGAGATATTATTTTGTCTAAAACATTCGTTTATCGAAGCTTGTTCATATTTTTATTCCTATTGTTTGCAACAATTATTAATTGATGAGATGTTGTTGCTACGAGGTGGTGATGTAAATGGTGTCAAAGTCTCCTTGTTTTATTTGACATAATCAATCCAAATATATATTTATTACAAAGTAATGAAAACCTTACGCAAAAAAAGAGAAGAAACGCATTTTAACTTCCTGGTTACCTGCGTTTAGAGAAAGGGGGAACATAATAAGAAAAATATTTGTCACACTGGCAGAATAAATATAAAAATAAAATACTTGAATGTATTGATTGTATCAAATAAAACTTTCATTAGACTTCTAGTAAGTATAGACAATTTATTTATAATCTATTATGAATTTTTTTGTGGAATAAAATGTTACAAAGTAAAAAAAAACGTTTGGGGAAACGAAAAAATTTAATCATTGTGATGACGAATGTGGATGATATCACAACCTAATGGTTTGGAAATAAGATAAGAATTCGACAAAGAGGATCTGGCCACAAAATGGCGAATGTGGTCACCTCTGACAAGAAGAGGACCGTATATCGTGCACAAAATTGAAATTTTGTATCTCATGCTGTGCATTCTGATACTAA